TCGGCAGTGGAGCCCGACGCTCACCGTGCGCGGGGCTCCGCTTCCGGCCGAGCCGGGCCGGCCCTGTCGCGCAGATGGCTGGAAGATGTGGCGACAGAGGCGTGCGCGGCTCGCGCCGACAGAGGCAGGCCTTGTCCCGAGTCCGGACGCGGGCGGCACGGGGAGCAGGAGATGAGCGAGCTGTCTGGCCTGCTCCGCTCGCCGGGCGGGGAGGGCTACACACCTATGTCGGCTCCGGCAGAGTACGGTTTTGACCAGGTGAATGCTGACTTCGGGGCGGAATAGTGTGCAAGGAAGGCTTCTTAAGGATGCCCGTCCCACGCGTTTGACATGGTGAGCTGAGAAACAGCGGCCATGATCTCCCAAGCCTCGACCCGCGACAAGACTGTATCGGTTCTGAAGCGAGCCTCCGGAGCAGCCAGGCAGCGCGCCGCGCCGCCGCTGGCCGCCCGCGGCCACTCACGCCAGTGGGTGGAGCCTTCCCACCAACGGGCGGAGCCCTTCTGGGAGCGGCGGCGAGCCGTTGTCCATCACGCTCTGAGCCCAGGAGCTCACGGGCCAGCGCGCCGTCCGTCACGTCTCGTTCCGCTGACTGTGACACCACGCCAACGGGCGCCCAGGGACCGACCGTCCCACCGGCGTCGCTGGACGGCAATGTCGTAACGACGCGTCGTCGTTCCCTTCGACGGGCTCCTCTGGGAGCGTTCGCTAATGGTGGGACGGGTCGGTGGCGCGGCGGACGACTTCCGACGAAGTGCCTCTCCGGATGGTGTGGTGGGCGTCCCGCTACCAGGTAGATGTTGTGCAGGAAGCCCCAATGTAGCGACCTGGATAGGTGTTCGAAGTATAGTGGGACTCAGATTTTGATCTTATGGTAATGGATATGTATGCTCTTGCATGTAAGTGGTGATGTGTGTGATTTAGGTTTCTTGGGTTCCCTTATACCACGAGCTTTTGTGGCGTTATGTTTGCTGTAACGGGTAGCAGATTTTGATCCTAAAAGCAGCTTTTAACTCCATGAGCTTGTGAGCATCTGAAATGCTGCAACTTTTGTTCGTTGCGTTCGGCCGCAACGCTCTGGACTAAAATGCTGCAATAACGCATGTGCCACTACATAGTAATCATCTCGTACAAGTACCACCAGCTGGCATTTGTGTCCCACCTTGGAAAGTTATCACAACAGGAAGAGATAGCTCAGTAAGCGGAGGATACCAGTAGCTCAGTAAGCGGAAGATGCCAATAACTCAGGGGAGTATGCCGCAACATGCGCATCCAATACAAAACTAAGAAGTCAAGAGAAAAAAAAAACATTTGAAATATTTGCGAACGCCAAGCAACCTACTCAGATCTGAATGTGCGTAGCGAACGAGATCAAAGCGGAAATAGGAAAGATGGCCGTCGGCAGCAACCAAAGCAGGAGACTTTTGTGGCGATGAAGTAGGTCGTAAGCGCATTTATTTATTTATGGTCTGTAGAAATCTTTTCAGGCTCGTGCGAATATTTCTGTCGCTTGGCTGGACCCAGGGTCTGTTATTCGTGCCTCAGTTTTATGTTAACGTTTTACACTTTGCATATGCACGGTACCTCAGGTTCAGGAAATGAAACCCGGAATAACAACAAAGTAAGAAGCGCGTGAACTTTCAAACCCAGGCAAGCAGCAAGCTGTTAGCGTAATTGGTTTTATGTCTGGGAATTTTAGATAGGGGTCTCATGTCATAGATATAAGTGGTCCCCCGTGATACGTGTTCCTCTTTCCCGCGTTTCGTGAAGCGTGGTCATCCAGAAATGTATTGTACTAAATTCATATAACCTGTATTGACTTGAAGTGGCGATTCAACAGAGAACGACAGTGCTTGCCGTTATTACATCGTTCGTGTGCCACACACGCCGCGGGGTGAGGCGAGGCGTGGTTTGTGCGCCACACACTGCGGGGTGAGGCGAGGCGTGGTTTGTGTGCCACACACGTCGCGGGGTGAGGCGAGGCGTGGTTTGTGCGCCACACACGTCGCGGGGTGAGGCGAGGCGTGGTTTGTGTGCCACACACGCCGCGGGGTGAGGCGAGGCGTGGTTTGTGTGCCACACACGCCGCGGGGTGAGGCGAGGCGTGGTTTGAGTGCCACACACGCCGCGGGGTGAGGCGAGGCTTCGTTTGTGCGCCACACACTGCGGGGTGAGGCGAGGCGTCGTTTGTGTGCCACACACGCCGCGGGGTGAGGCGAGGCGTGGTTTCGGCTTACATCAATTCAAATAATGTTTAAAAGCGACATGCAAGTCAATGTTTATCATTGGAGATTGTGACGTGCCTCTGTCATGACAACGGTGCCTGGTGCCATTGGTGCCCTTGGTGCCCTTGGTGCCCTTGGTGCCCCGGGCGAGTGCATTTACGGCTGACAATTATTGCAGATTTTCACTAGGGATGGTAAAGGAAACAAACAAGCTTGCAAAGGCACTTACCCGAATGACGAGCTCATTCATGTCCAAGCAACTTGCTAGATGCAAGCCACTCAATTATACCACGTAAAAACCCTAACAAAACACACGCCGGGTTTGCGATTGAGACGCACAAATCAGGTTTGTGTCTCTTCCCGACATGGTACACGTTTTCGGGAAGCGAGAAAAAGCATCAGCTGGCCGGAAGCCGCGCAAGAAGTGCTGGCACGGCGGAGGCCGCGGCCTGGGGGCAGGAAGTGCGACCCTCCCGAGGCGGGACGGTTTGACGGAGAGCAGCGGCACCGGCCAGCTGTCCGTTTTTGTGTCCTGAGCTTCCGCTGCGGTGGCGGAGAGGACACCCTCCCCACCCTCAACCCCCCCCCCCCGCCGTGGCCACTCATCGTGTAGCGACCGTACATGTCGGCTAAAGCGCAGGCTGCGGAACACGCGCTGTGAACGGTTGGTTGGAGACGTGATTCATGTGGGAATGCGCGTAATTCTTTCGTACTTTATTGCATTTCAGTCAATAACAACGCGTCGTGTTAGCGTTTTATAATGCAAGTGATGTTAAGCTGAGCGTTGCGTCGATTGCCTTCCATATTGAGATGAATGGGCTGCGCGGCACAACGCTCATGATGGACGTGATAAATGACTGATGTAGTTATCGCGGCCGGGTGGCATGGTCTGTGACATGGCGTTCAGAAGATCGATGTGTCTGTACCTACGTGGTAGCTCTAACAAAAAAATGATCATGCAACTGAGGACGGAGGCAACGAATTCCAGTTTGAGACAGCGATGCGTAAATATGAATTCATTAAGGTATTTCTTGTAGGCGTATATCCACTTCCCGCCATGTGTTTGTCATGAGCATTAGTTCATCTTTTGGTCGTTTCCGCTGCTGCATCAGTGAAATGAATGCACAGTTGCCAGTAATCTACAAATTTCAAATATAAATATGCGGATTAGCTTTTACTTAACAAACCTTTTCCTACGATACGAAACATGTGCTAACTGTATAACAACCGGTCTATAACCATATTGACCATGAAGGTTTTTGAATTGCATTCGCACCCTTTGAAAAGGATTGCTTAATAACCTTTAAACGAAAATCGTCCGAAAGGATTCCCGCCATGGAGTACCACTCCTGAATGCTTTACGTCCTCCAACAGTTTGCTGTGCCTGCCTGCCTGGAAATGGTATACACAGTGCATGGGCTGCATTCTCCAAATTCGCCTTAATGTGTCCAGCGCTCGAGAAACAAGTTCCATCAACAACTTAATGAAGATGACAGGGTTCGGATTACGCCAACAAATGCCAAGTTTGAGTTGTGAGTCTTCCGACTGTCGGTATTTTTACGTGAGGTGGTGTGAACTTGAGATTGACTAGATATATGCATTAAGCTTCGATCTAGGTATAAACATCAATGCCTTGCATGTGAGATTATCTGAAAAGACGACTTGGGATTTCTCCCTGGGGCTAATGTACACCTTGAGGACGTTGGTCACGGCAGCATGCGCTAGTGCATTAGGCCTACCGGCGTGCCTTTAAGTACCTCGACTCCCCACGATTCTGACCTCCAATTCTGAATGCGTAGCATATTTAACACGCTTGTCCTGTTATCGTGCCTACCTGTCGGTTAGGCGGTTAAGTCCCTATAACCGCATCTCAGCCGCATCTCGTGGGTTACCACGTATCTCGGGCAGCGCCAGGACATATTGTGCTGCACTCATTATCCCTGTGGCTGCACATTCCAAACCTGTCAGATGCTTCTCGGGTCATTGGCTGCTTCCAATAGCATGCTGTTGGCACAAAGAGGATCAGATCCAGCAGGTTATTGTAGTTGGTCCCAGGAAAACACGGAATCCCAGATAGACTGGCCCTTATTGTTTTGTCTTGCCATGTCCTGTATCGAGATGCTCTGTCCTGTCTCGCCATGGTCTGCCCTGTTATTACCTGCCCTGTCTTGTCCCGCTATGATCTGCCCCGTTACTAACTGCCTCATCTTGTCCTGCTATGGTCTCCCCTGTTACTACCTGCCTCGCCTTGTCCCGTTATGGTCTGCCCTGTTACTACCTGCCTCGTCTTGTCCTGCTATGATCTGCCGTGTTGCTACCTGCCCCGTCTTGTCCTGCTATGGTCTGCCCTGTTGCTACCTGCCTCGCCTTGTCCTGCTATGGTCTGCCCCGTTACTTCCTGTCCCGTCTTATCTCGCTATGATCTGCATTGTGATTATGGCCCATCCTGTTTTGTCCCGCTTTGGTCTGCCGCCATTGTGTCGCGTGTCCCGCCCCATTTTGTGGACTACCCAGTCATGATCCGCCCCGTGCCTCATCGGCCTGCCCTGCTCCATCCTCAACCACGTGACAACCGCCTCGGAGCCCAGCTTGACCTGAGAATGACATCTCTCTCGAAGTGCGGTAGTACCCGGCACCCTGACATCGGTCTGCGCCGTGGCCCATCGCTCTGTTTTGGCGGCACACTTTCCCTCGTGTGAGGAAGACTCACCGGTGTTTGTTTTTCGGCGGGTTTTTGTGCGCCGGCCCGGCTGACTTCGTGCGTGTCCTTCGCAGGCGGCTGGGTCTGGACCTGGTGCCCCGGCTGGACGGGTGCATGGTGGACCCGGAGGCCATCTCTGTGGTGGCTCTGCACCGCGTGGTGAGTGCTCACGCGACCCGACTGACCTGCGGTATGCGCGTTCTGTGAGGGCTGACCGGTCTCGGGCAGGGGCTCGGCTTTAGTTCTGTGGTCGGTCCTGTGCAGCTGTTCTGTTCTTCGCACGGCGTGAATTGCTAGCGCAGCGAAAGCTGGCTGTTGTCTGGTGGAGTCTTGTTTGACCTCAGTCGGAAGCCGTTAAATGCAGAAAAGTGATGCAGGTTGTCAACAGACATCACTGCAAGAGCATTTAATGGATTTACTTCACCACAGTACTATCATGATGGCTAAAGTTTTATGCACAAAGCACAAGACTTTTGCTTTTACGCTGATTGCATTTTTCTTTGGTAAATGTCATATTTGTAATTTTAATGTTTTTACTGTATTTATCCAGCTCTTAATGACTGCCGACGAAAACGGAAACTGCGGGCAAATTTAGGCATGCTCCACAGCACACACACCAGTGAGTTTAAACCTGTCCAGAGTTGTTACTTCAGTGTGACCTCTGATCACATCAGAGATCAGAGATCACCCCTAATTGTCACCCCATTTTTCTTGATTGGCTGTGCTTGTGATGCCAGTAATGCTTCATGGCAGTGGTGCGTCTGATATATTGACAGTGATGCGTCTGATAGGGCAATGGCATCCGACTGGGACCCCTCACTGCGTGCGGCTTAGCGAAGTCCCTACTGGCACTGGGCTGGCCTGCTTCTCCGTCTCAATCAGTGGGTTGGAAACTATGGCTGACGGGCGGCCGGTTTTGTTGAGTACTGAACTTTGACCTGCTCGGTTCGTGTACTGTAGCATACGCCCATTGGATTGATTTGATTCGTGCCGCGTTTGAGCGACACTCCCGGCGTCCGTCCAGGAGTATATTAGCGGCGTGCGGCTCAGCAGCTCCAGCCGTGAGCGACTGAAGTACCCTTTCCCGAGCCGATCTACGCATCGTGCGACGGTTCATGGCGGCGTTCAGAAATCACCGGAGACGTCACGTGGTGTGGGCGTCTCTTGATCGGTGTCGGTGTCTATGTTCAATATTTGCGTGTTTGGGCGGTTGCAACCTCTTCCGTGCCATTTCCTCCGTCATTGTGGCACGAGAACATGATAAACCGTTGACCAGTTGGATGGCCTGATGATAAATACCGATACTGATACTGGGTAATGGGAACTGGTAGCGACTGGTAGGGTGTTTCAGAATAAATACACTATGTGATGTCGGACACCACATTCCGAACTCGCAAGTGTGTGAGGTAGATAGCACACGTAACCTTGGGCTCTATCAGATCGTGTCCATTTTGATTAATTGAAGGGTTTCGACCCCTAATTTGACACGCAACACCGGTTCGCCTATCCGCAATGGTATTTGGGTTACAGAGTTCGTTTGACGTGTTATCGCTGCTTTTCAAGGAAAACCACATGTAGCGCTTACCCCAACCGTCATCTGATATGTACATCAACCCTGATATATGTATTCACCAGCCTTACCTTGTCCGGAAATTACATCTTCTTAAATCGTCTGAGCGGTCTGCAAGCGATCTGCCTGCAGATATCTGCAGCGAACGCAAAGTGGTATCCGCAGCCACCAACGGCGGGTGGTGCGGGACGTCCCGATTGCTCCGTTCCGCTGCAATAATACGGCCTCTTGTGCAGCTGCGGGCGAGCGCTGGCGCCCGTGAGCGGCCGCCCCAGTCCGGTGCCTGGCGCGATCTCGGCGTGTCTCGGTCCGGTCAGGCTCACGACCCCGGCCGGCGCAGGGGCGGCCTGGGCCAGTGGAGACGATCCTGAGTTTGAGACACGGGGCCCCTCCCGGCGCGGCGAAGGAGTGGGCTGTGAGGTGGGGATCAAACGGCAGTGCCTTGATGGCGGTTTGAGTGCATGGGCCTGCCCAGCCTCAGCCCCAGCCCAGTCCAATCTCAATCCAGCACAGCCCAGCTCCAGGTACAGCCCCAATTCCCGGGTCGGCCGCGGTCTGACGAACGCCCTGTGGGCATGCAAGCTAGACTGTCGGTCAACGTCAGGTCCCCTTCTACTGCATTAGCCAGAACCCGACGCGCATCACGTAACGCGCATCCCGCCACGCTGCCGCACTGAACCGACGGTGCAGCGCAAGATTTCAATTTATTTGTTTGAGGCGTTTCAGCCTGACAGCGGAAGATGGGGTGTTCATGTGAAGAGGTCCTGCCCATGGCCGGGCCCGGGCTCGGTTTTAGTGCGGGCTGACGGGTTCTGGCTGGTCGGATTTTCCTATTGACACGCGGAGGTAGGGGCGCGGGAGGGGTGAGCTGCGTTTCTCGAGCAGTTTAGTCTGTCTGGAACTACGCAAAGCAAACAAACACATCTTTAAAAACGATTTGCTTGAACTCCGAAAACGTGCCTTGTGACCTGTTTACATGCCGAACTATGGTGTTCGCGTTAGATTTGTTTATGCATTATTAATGTCCTGCAGTCTATACCAGAAGTAGTCTATACAGGTAAATGTTTTCAGGCTTGCATTCTGGCAACCATCACCTAACGTCATTCTGTTCCTTTACTTCAGCACTCTCAGAGTCTGGAAACGTCTCAAGGAATGTCGGTAAGCAATCTAGAAATATGCCATTTTCTAGCGCGGATTTGAATGGTCCGAATAGCACGTGTTCGGTGGATTATACAACATATACAATCGCCAAAAATATGAAGTCCAAGGGGCAGTTCGTTGCTGTTGTTCTCGAACAAGGTTACCATATGATGCCCCAGATGCACTCTAGTGCGGAATACAACGCTTTTGATTGCCAGATTCGTCGCTTTCGTCCTCGTCTGAATCCTGCCTGAAGCTCCGTGCACCTCGTTCGAACGATCACTGCTTCACTCAGTGGCCCTGGTCGCTCCCTTGCTTGTGATAATTTTATCCGCAATGTGCAAGGAGACAGCAGTCGTGTAGACGAGGATGATCACGGACTGTCCATTCATCCCATTCCCCGCGCTGCAGCGAGATCCGTCTGCCCACAGGTACGTGGTACTCTCCGCAAAAGGAAGACAAGCCGACCAACGGCTCACAGCCATAACCTGTATGCGTCGCTGCGAGAGTTCGGCTACGTCACGGGTGACGATGTAGAGCTGTATTTCTCCCTGTACGACGCCGACAAAGCCAAGTTTGTCAGGTATGGCCGCATTCCCTGCTACCATTCCGGTTGATAACACAGGGATGTCGTGATAACCACGTATACCGAGGTAACTGCCCGGGATGCTGTTATATCTTGATATAAAAAAGAAAAACCTTCAGCTCCTGGTTTCTCGGCTTTACGAATTCAAAGCTTTTATGATGAGCTAACGACCTTTAATATTCGAGGAAGTATTGATTAAAGGATGCTGCATTGCTAAATAACGATAATTTTGACGGCACTCAAAATTTCGAGCTGTGCTCATCCACAAGAATCTAGCTTCATGCGCTGTGCTCTTGGTGCATTCGATTACGAAGAGCACAGAATGTGCGAAGAATGTACGGCCTACGTGCACATCGATTCTTGAGGATGAGCGGAGCTTGACATATTGAGTACTGCCAATATAATCGCTATTTAACACTACTACGTCTTTTAACCAGTACCTCCTGGTATGTTTAAGATTACCACCTCACCATAAGAACTTTGAACTGATGCTAGTGTGATGTCGTTGGAAGTGCTAAGATGCGGCTTTTGTCATCCAAATGCGTGCCCCATTGTTAACTTAATTGTGAAGTGATCTGGCTCGTTGGTTTGCATAGCAAAAGTTTGGGTGCAGAGCCTAGTTTTCCCCTTGTCTGGCTTAAGCTAGTGCTTCCGAATGGAATTCAATTAGTCTTGATATAGCGTAGGTAATTTACACTCATCTTTATGTGGCAATCCCGCCCAATTTGTGATAAAGGAACCTTGCGCGCGGCGCTGTGCTGGCTAGGTGGTGGTTTTACAGGAGACTACGTCGTCTGGGAGTGTCCTGCTACTTATGGGCCGCTCCTTTCACACTATAATATTTTTTGCGCAGTTGCAGATCAATCCGTACCAAAGGTCATGTTTATACTCAAATATTCTATGTTCAAATGTTCAACTCCGGTAAAGGGTCCATCGCGTCATCGCAAATGTCTTGTATATACGCCAGAATCTAAGGGATGCCGGATATCTGATCTACGAACATCTCGTCTAATTTAGCCTCATTCACATCCCCATTCATATTCGTGTCAGAGAATGAGCCTTGGCTTGGTAGTAACGCGCTTTGAAAAATAGTTCACCGTACAGTTACTCCATAGCACACGTTCGTCCTACACAAACGTGATCCATTACCATGAGTCGTGCTGATCTGCTGTGACGCTGCTACTGACCCATCACCCAGATGTTGGAAGGTCTGAATGAGTCCAGTTGTGTTGGATCTGTGAAGTCCAGTTGTGTTGGATCTGTGAAGCCTGCGCCCGTCTGTTCCCAGTGAGAGGTTCCTAGTCCTCATATCGAGGGAAGGTCAGTCCAACTTCTACAACAAGCCGCAAAACAACACATCCGTCGTGTTCACGGTGAGGACTGTGGCGTGTTGTGCCTGAGAGTTTTTATGTTCTTCATCCAATCCATGCGCTAGCTGCCAATTTCCCACGACTTAAGAAGCGTTTTTTTCCTGTGCTTCCAGTTTCAATTTCTTCCAATTTCATTTCGGCACTTGTACACGTGCCGTTTCTTTTCCTGAAGACCCCAAAAGACAAATTTACCTCGGCTTATTCGTGAAGCCAACGAACGATCGTAGCTTTCAAACGAGTTCCACCCAAAAAATTACGCGCATAGAAAAATTCAAAGCCACTACGGCTTTAAATCAACACGAAATCTTGTTAATTGGCGAAGTATCCTGAAAGTCACGTGGACTGTGTGATGAACTAATCTTTGTTTTGGGTCTAGTGTGGGCTGTGTTAATGGTGGGCGTCAGTTATCAGTAATCAACGGAGCACTCAATGCTCTTTGAGAAAGCAACGTTTTTTTGCTCACTTTTGGGCTTCGAATCAACTTTACCGTGTAGTGAAAAAAATCTGAGTTGGCAAGTCTACACGTGCCATTATTTTCGTGAAGTATTTTGATGTTTTGACGTTGTGCACTCCGATGCCATGGCTGCAAAATGCCTCCTCATATAAGCCGCCATATTTCAAACCGAAACGTGCATAACCCAAGTAACGTGAAGTTCCAAATGATTTGCGTCCTTGCTACGCTCTTCATGGCATTGTTTAGCATCCTCTGCTCATGCTGGTGACTCATTGGAACGCCATGACGGTGCTGGGCCGACCCGATGCCAGTGTGTCCCGTGGTGGCACCGATTTGGCGCGCCGGGCCGCTTTATATTCAGCAGACGTCAGTTTAAAAGGAACGGTAGCATGCTTTCGCCATTACGGATAGCCAAGATGCATATCTTGGAGCTTTTCGATCGCTTGAATAAAGGCGCGTCCGCGACCGATGTTTCCAACACTTCAGTGTGCTCTCACGCATGTGACAGGATTCGGCATCCACAAGACCATTCGAACGACGTGCTGACCAAAGATGTGTGGTCCTGATAGGTTTTGTTTCTATCGCGTGATGCTATTAGATCAGGCAATTTTAAATAACTGTCCGCGGTACCTTGCACTTCCTATTTTTCAAGTACGGCCTGGTTTGCGCAGAAGATTGTTAACCCCCAGGTGTCGATGGCTGGTCGATGCAATGTTCTTTTAGCAGCTCTATGCACTGCACCTCACGCAGCAAACGGTTTGCTTAAACAATTCGTGTCATTGTTTTGCTTTGGCGTTGGGCAGTCTCGTGGTGCAAATCTGACTCATGACCAAAATCATGAGACCTGTGCTGCCTTAACAGCACCGACTTGCCACCAGGCACATTGTATCGTCACAGTTCACCATGTGCTGGGATTGTGATCCAGGACACCAAGACTGAATCCCAGTTGTCAATGTCGACGGCCCGGCGCCGGCTCCGCTCGCGCTGTTTGACCTCTCCACCATCACGTCAGACCCTCTCGACACGGTACGCTGCTCCCGCTTCCGCTCTGCAGGCGTCACCCGTCCGATCTCCCCCCGCCGCAGGACCTGGGCGACATCGAGAGCGCGCCGCAGCTGTACCTGGTGCTGCACGCGCTCCGACTGGGCCGCATGCTTCCCTCCGAGTCTTCGAAGCGCGGCGCTTCGCAGCGCTTCCGCCGGCCGCTGGGCTGCGCCGTGCTGAACGTGCACGACGTGCTGGCCAGCCGGCCGGCGGCGGCCGACGCCGAGCGCGAGCTCTCGCTGCGCCTGCAGCAGACCGAGGAGCGCGACTTCAGCCAGCTGCACGAGATGATCATCCGGCAGGCGAGCAGATGCAGCCCGCTCTCCGCTTCCGCCAACTATGGTGAGTGGGGAGGATGGTGAGGTGGGGGGGGGGGGGGATGATGATGAGAATGATGAGAGTGAAGTTGATGACGAAGTTAGCCTCATGACAAGGTGTCAGAGCTAGGGCAGAACGAGAAGGGGAGTGATACGAAGGTAATAGAGGGGATAATGAGGAGATGGGTGAGTGATGATGGGAGTGGTGTGGCCTTGATCACAAGGATTGTGGGGGTAGGATGAGAAGCAGGTGGATTACTGGCGGTGTCAATGGGTTGTAGCGGCGCGATCGTCCCAACTGGCGGGCTTTAAGGAACCTTGCACCTGTGTCACACCTAGGTGGCCTGCTTTGACGAATTCCCATTTTTGAATATGTTGCGCGTTCTTGTAAACGTTATGTAGGTGTTAATTTATCATTCGATTGGCGTCTACTATTCTTTATTCCACCGGCCCTAGGCGGGAAATGTCACGCCAGTGGTGGCCGGTAGCATTGCACGTGCTCGTCTAGGGACAGGCTGGCTGCATTCGGCGCCCGCTGGGGCTTGGGCCTGAGCCACCCGTGTGATAGCGTGATGCGGAACATCCGGACGCCAACACCTTGTGACAGCTCTTCACGTCCGCTGCACCGGAGGCTTGTTAGCTGGTCTTTCCAGAACCGGTTGTTATTAATTCACATGTCTTGAATGCAAGTGCCGTCGCGACTGGGCTGGGCCTGACGCTCTGCTATCCTGAGCGTGGGCAAACGAGTAAATGCGACAGACACAACACAACGGTGCCGGGAGGTCACGTAGCGGTGGCGCTTAAGCAAGTGGTCTGTCGTGATGTACTTGGTTGAAGCTCGCATAAATGCAGGCATATTGCGAGTTATTAGGCCCGCAGTGCATTTATGCAGTTGTTAACTAACGAACTATCCAATGCAGAGCTGCCACTTTGCGTCCCTTTTGTTGATGGGGGTCCGCCAATAATTTCATGTGCTAACATCAAGCTTATGGTGATGCTTGCGAAGAGCCCATCAAGGCTATGGTCCGAAAGAGTCAGAAATTACCGATGGATGCCTCGCTCTATCAGTTTGCATGCACAGGTTTGCCATTTCTCCTCTTTTAATGCATCATTTATATAAAAAAACAGGCAAAGAACAGCATTCCTGCAATCTGAGCAGTGCTGTTTTACATGCTATCGTAGCACACACTTGCTATTACTAACGTTGTTTAAATTTTTGGCCGCCAGGGGTGCTTCTGTCGCTTCGTTTGCTCAACGGCAGCCAAGCTCAGGTGATGCGCGACCACCCGCTGCTGCTCAAGCACGCTGCCATCGCTAGAAAGCTCGGCTTCCCAGACATCATCATGCCGGGTGACATCAGGTCAGTGACGGAAGGCCCGCCGTTGCTAAACTCAGGTCACGGAGGTGACCAGCCGCCACTCTCAGAAGACGTCAACACGCGTTTTGTGGAACAGCTGTCTTCGGAGATAGCATGTATTGATCATGACGGTCGTTGCAAGAACTGGGCGTTTTTAAAAGCAGGAACAGACAAAATTGGTTTCAAGAAGGGGGTCGGTTCGCCCAGCATTGGGGTTACGGTCTGTAAATGACTGTTTCCTGCGCGAAAACTGACCTATTTCACATTGCATTTTTAATGGTGTCATCACGTCGGCTTGCATGACGGTTGTTACGAACAAGAACGCAGCTTGAGTGTTGTATTGTATGCGGCCGCAGGACATGACCTTTATTTTACCAGCCCTAATTTTGCTGTATAATTTTGTGAATGGCTAGGCTTGCGCTGCGAAAGTTTCGATCGATATCTAACTGCCGTTGGAAGTGGACGAGTCTACATTTGTCCTCAACATTAAGCGGTAAGGTTCATAACTGTATTTTGTTAGATTGCTTTGCGCGGTCTGCCTCAAAACCTTGCGAAATCGCGACTTATATGTCCACACCGACGGACGAACGGCCGCCAGATGTTGCATGCAGCGGCTCGGTGGTGTCCACCCTGGATGTGTACCAGACCGTACACAGGGCCATATATGGCAGCGGTGCGGCGGGGGGTCTGCCGCTCACGTGAGTCGCCGGCACTTGTATCCGGTCGGCGCCAGAGGCGTCCCATAATCCAGTCTGGCACCGCGGTGCCGTTCCACCGCGGGGGGGGGGGGGGGGCGAGAGGCGCAAGCAGGCGATCTCCTATCTCTCCATCACGACCGTCGCCCGCCCACCGCCGCGCCGGCTTCGCCGCAGTCTTGGCGTCGATCGCGGCATTTCCGGCGAGTGCTGCAGCGCGCCGCGCCCGTGCGTGTCCGCGCGGCGGGAGCGGCACGCTTTGCGGGGCTATCGGCGCAGAGCCGCGCCGTCGCCGCAGTCCGGTTGCACTTCTCTCCGACGGTATCGAGCTGTAGAACCCGCGACCACAGCCAGCGGCCGCCTCGGCGGCGCGGCCGCAGAGCATAATCAGCACTCCACATGAGCCGAACCGCTGGCCGCTCTGATAACCGCCCGCTGGCCGTTCTGGTGACCGCCCGCTGGCCGTTCTGGTGACCGCCCGCTGACCGCTCTGATAACCGCCCGCTTTCCGCTCTGGGTCTGGTCTAATAACCGCCTGCCGCTGCAGGAACGACCTCTATCTGACGCTGGACCGAGGCGAGTTCGAGCGGGGCGGCAAGTCCACCGGCAAGAACATCGAGGTGTGCGTGTCGGTCGTGCGCAGCGACGGCAGGGTGTTGGAGGTGAGAGTGGGGCGCGTGCCGGCGGAGCTCGACGTGTGGGAAGCGTGGGACGTGGCCGGTGGTCCGACTGCGGGCACGCCATGTCCGCGGGATCAGAGACGTCATCGTCTTGGAATGTGGTCGCTCATCGTTGGAAATAGTGCTGACGCAGTTCATCGAGTGTTTTCCGAACTATTTTTGGCGAAAACTGTAGGCCTTCTTCGGGGTCTTGTGTTTATTAGGCTCCATGCCACCTTTGGTGCTTAAAAGCTGACATTTATTGAGCCAAAATACGGTGCGCCTGCTGCAGCTGCAAATGTAATATATCCCACACTGTAGCGACACGTCCTGGCGACATGTGCTGCCAGCGGCCGTCGTGTGACGTCTGGTATCCCCTGCGGCAGGACTGTATCGTGTCGGCCAGCGGCCAGGCCGGCAGCCGCACCTTCACTTCCACCGTGTTGTACCACAACAACGCACCACGCTGGGGCGAGACGCTGCGACTGGCCGTACCCATAGAGAGCTTCAGCGGCGCGCACGTGCGCCTCGAGTACAGCCACTGCTCCAGCGGTGAGGCACCGTAGAGCTGCCGACAATAGAGCTGGCTTGATGGGGAGGCAGGGAGAGGACAGCTGTTGGGTGGGTTACCGGTCAGGTAAACGCACAGAGGACATCGGTGTGGAGGAAAGCGATCTAATTACCAGATGATGGAAACCCGTTTACGTCCGCGGTGTTATTTTTGATGAACAATTGCCAAAGCTATAAAAACCTCTTAACATTCATTCATTAAGCCCAAAACTGTCAAGCACCCTCGCCAATCTTTCTCACCCTCCATCATTCTCCTCGCCCAGCTACCTAACCATTCGGCCTCTTTTTCGCTCTCGGTTTCTCAATAACTCTTTCTCCCAGTTTCTCTTCCTTCCATCCATCCCATCCATCTGTTCCCAGCGCCCGCTGCACTCCTGTGGTGCCCATCGATGCCGACCGCACAGATGGGCAATCCACGCCATCGGAACCTGCTGGGAGCTGCACGCGCGCTCAGTCGGCTCCGCGCGGGGGCCGCGCGTCCCGGGCCGGCCACCCATCGCGACAGCAAACAGTGATACGTGCCAGCTGACATACAAGACAGTCAGAGGCACCCCGAACACGTGGCAAGCACAACACACTCCTTCACAGCCGCCCGCAGGACGCGAACGATAACGTAAGAAGGGGCTTGTTCAGACCGTTGCGCAATGCACCAGGTGCGCGTGGCCCCATACACGTGACGCTCGCATTGCACTCAACCTTCATTCACGGCACGCTCGGGTGACAATGTTCTGACAATGGGCGGCTCATCGAGGCACGGTCCGCAGCTTGTGCCCCCACATCGCCTTCTCAGGGTACTCTCCGCCACCACCGGGCGGGGAGGGGGGAGGAACAACATGAGACGCTGCGCCCAGCGCGGCCCCCACCCGACGACAGGCTGTTATTGCCTCGGACGGGTTGACAGCCGCGCGCTATCAACCCCGCGTGTTGAGCCGCACCTGGCCGCTTGGGGTCCGCTCCGTTATCTGCTCTCGGCCAGCGTGCGTCTGTCGCCCGACGCTCGCAGGGCCGCAGGGTCACCCGGCCCGTGGTGCTGCGCCGTCGCCCGCCGCCGACTGAGGCGGGGCGTGCTTAACCGGCGGCACCTGCGCCGAGGGTGGCTACGTTGCGTCACGCTCGCCGACTACCTCCGGGGTCAACGGGGAGGGGAGGGGGAGGGTTGCTGTGTGTGGTCTGCGCCCACGCAGCGCGCTCTTATTTTCGCATTGTTGTTTGGTTCGGAGCGTGGACCAGTCAAACATAGGGGATCCTTGGCCAGCGGGACTCCGTAATGTCTGAATATTTTAGGCTTTTGATGCATTTGAGAGTACCCACATGGGCATGAATCGTTTACGTGATGTTTTCTGGAGGATTGTCGCTAGACAGTGCTGAAAAATGTCATGAAAACTATTGTTTTCCTCCTGTTTGACCTAACAAACAATTCATGACGCCTCTATCTTTCAGTCATCTGTCAGATTAGTAAAACGCGTCCAACAGCTCCACCCCTCTTATCAAATGTCTACATCCATCAGATTCTGTAAGGTCATGTTGTGCTGAATTTGACGGAGCTCTCTGCGGGCACACATTGCTCTGCGCTTCGTTCTCTCCTGCCCTCGCTGGCGTTCACGTGCTCACCACTAACGTGTCGCTCCTGCAGCCAAGGATAGGGCGGAGAGAAAGCTGTTCGCCTTCTCGTTCGCCTGCCTGATGGACCAGGAGGGAGCCACCATTGGGGACGGTCCTCGCGAACTCTGCGTCTACAAGTGCGAGGACAGAAACAAGCTGCTGGTACGTCGGCTTGCCACTGGGCGAAGACCTCGGGCACAGCCACGGGCAACGCGCTGGCCCGGGTGATAGATTCATGATCATCACACCGCAGCCGGGTGTTCGTGTAATGCCAACAGAGACGCATAACGTAAACGAACTGCCCTCTTGTCCCACTTCAACGATATCTGGTGGATGTGTGGCGCCTGGTGCATGTGTGGTGTCTGGTACATGTGTGGCGCCTGGTACATGTGTGGCGGCCAGGCCACTGCATTCCACGGCGCCGTAAAATCCGCCGCGCCGCTGTTTCCTGCTCGCGGTCCTTGCCCTCGCCGTCCGTCGCTCCTCTCTCTGATTCAGCGCGCGTGCCATCGCGTCGTCAAGTGCCGTCCGCTGTCGCGCTTCTGAATGCCAAACACCGCTGCCTGCGCAGCAGCGCGCATGTAGCGTTCGATAGGCGTACAACAGTGACGCCCGGCAGCGGTGCACGCTGGCCCGATGTGGACCAATGTCGGTCGCGCCTGGACTCTTCAGGCGCCTGCGCATCTGCAGCGCGCTTGGGTTTGCGAAAAGGGAAACTCGGAAGTGCGCTTCGTGACAGCCTGGTGCAGCCACCCTCGCGACAGTCTAGTGCAGCCGCCCTGGCGACAGCCTGATGCAGCCACCCCGGCGACAGTCTCGTGCAGCCACCCTCGCGACAATCTGGCGCAGCCGCCCTGTTGACAGTCTGGTGCAGCCACCCTCGCGACAATCTGGCGCGGCCGCCCTCGCGACAGTCTGGTGCAGCCACCCTCGCGACAGTCTAGTGCAGCCGCCCTGGCGACAGCCTGATGCAGCCACCCCGGCGACAGTCTCGTGCAGCCACCCTCGCGACAGTCTGTTGCAGCCGCCCTGTTGACAGTCTGGTGGAACCACCCTCGCGACAGTCTGGTGCAGCCACCCTCGCGACAATCTGGTGCAACCACCCTCGCGACAATCTGGCGCAGCCACCCTCGCGACAATCTGGCGCAGCCGCCCTCGCGACAGTCGGGTGCAGCCACCCTCGCGACAGTCTGGTGCAGCCACTCTCGATCAAGAGCAGCCAGCGCGTCAATTGCTAGTGCGCGGAAGTTCGAGTTATGGTCGCGGAGAGCGTGGCTGCAGGCGGCCGCCGTCACATCGTGCCCTGTTTTCAGAACCCGGCGTCGTACCTTGGCCTGCCGTGGCACGCTGCGCAAGTGCGCGAGCCAGCCGGGGGGAACCACCACTTCAGCCGATCGGGTCGTGAGTGGGCCTGGGTGCGCACTCTGCTCTGCTCCACCAAACTGACGCAGAACGGTGAGCGCCGGAGCGGCGGGACGGGCCGGCGGCGGTATTGGGGCACGAGCTAGGAGAGTGCAGCGTGTGATTAGCGATGAACACTTAGAGCAGCGGTCACTCGGTGGGGCTGTTATCTGATGTAGCGGTCTTCGGTGGGACTGTCGTCTGATGTAGCGGTCTTCGGTGGAACTGTCGTCTGATGTAGCGGTCTTCGGTGGGACTGTCGACTGATGCTGGACGTTGGGAACACTTCATTTCAGCTGAATACAACAGTCATTAACATGCGCGTGGTGGTAACAGTGGTGAACTGCAGTGGTTTGAATTAAGTAAACTTTACCCAATTTTCATGCTTTGTCAATTTTCTGATATCCCTTTGCTTTGTACTTGAAAATACGTTTATCATGTTGTTGTTCCCATTTCCGACGTGTGATAATGAACGTACCACATATCCTCCAAAACAATACATGCATATCTCAATGAACAAATAATTCCGCCAATTACCAATGAGCCAATATGCATGCACCACTTAACAATTTGTTAGTGTCCTGCATATGGCATTAAGCAAAACAAAATATGCAGTTATCTGACCATGTAAAAAACTGCCTTTACAGGTGACCTGCTTTCATTGTTGAAATGGAAGCAAAACCCCGACAAGATCGTGGACACACTGACACGTATCATGAAGCTGAAGGGCGAGGAGGTCATGAAGTTCCTGCAAGATGTCCTGGACTCGCTGTTCGCCATGTTCTCGGCCGACGACGGAAACTCCACGCAACACTCTGGGCTTGTGTTTCAAGTGCTGGTGCGTTGTTTGCTTGAGAAGTGCCATTCGGAGTTGAACCTCACGCCCTCTGAGGTTGAGATCTGGTTAGGTTATTTGTGATGTGGTGGTTGGTGTGCTTATCTATTTAAGGACATCAAAGGAATTTCGGAAGCTGGCACATCAGGTTTAATGTAAGGCCTGCGTTGTTCCGCTGGAGAAAGGCGTACAGTACATGTTCTGAGCTAAAATGCGTCTGCGCGACTGGTTATAACGGACCTTTACACTGTGCACTCCCAGCGAACATTTAAACACCACCTTTGTAGAGTCAGCTGGAACTCGTCGCCATCGCTGGTCGGTACGTCCGATCCTGCGGCGTGGTCTGCCATGTTCAGCTGCTTTAAAAGCCAGTTCAACGGAGCACTGCACGTTGTTTCAGGTCAGCATCTTCAGCCATCTCCGAGACAGCAGGTTCGAACACTTCCGACCTGTGCTCGACGCTTACATCAACGGACATTTCGCCGCCGCGCTGGTGTACAAGTGAGGACTGCCTTCTTGCGCCTAACGTGCCGCCAGCTTGGCCAAATAATGACACTCGTGTTGGGTGGGAACCACAAACGGAGCATACGTCGGAGCATGTTCGGTTCTCTGTTCTCTGATGTTCGGCGATCGCTAACGCTGTCATCGTACGACGACTCATCCACTTCCCTGCATCGGTTCTTACAACGTCCGTCGTTGTTCACGTCGCCTGCTTTGTGTTACCTGGATGCTGTCACAGTAGCGCCAATGAAACACTCCTTATAATGGTCTCTTGGATCCGGTGTGATGCCGACAGCACCGGTGTCCCGATTGATTGCACTGCATCAGGTGGATACAAACGTTCAAAGACTGCGAACGATGCTCATCAAGACAGCGGCTTGGCCCGTTAGACAAGCTTATCGTGCTCATCCACCAATGGAACGACTCACACCACTACACCACCGTATTGACGCTCTTGGTGTTGTTCAACGTTTCGAGTAACCCCTCATGTTCCACAATCCAAGCTGTTTTCCAGGAACGTTTACGGTAACCTATCTACCAGGGCGATGCGCATAGTATGGTTGACCAGTCCGTGCGACAACACGCGCCCGGTGTCCGTTTTCCGGTGTCCGTCTGTACGGTGTCGCCTCGACCGTTGCAGGGGACTGGTGAGCTGCGTGCGCCACTACGCCGAGCAGGTGACGACCAGCGAGCGCCAGCAGCCGCTGCTCAAGTGTTTCGGCACGCTGGAACTGGTGTTCCAGTTTGTGGCGCGCTCCCGGCTTCTGTTCGGCCGGCAGAGCGTCGGCGATAGTGAGGACGGCTTCAGGGCCGACCTGGCCGAGCTGTTCAACGTGTTCAACAGGACGCTGGCCAGCACGGGCGCCGAGGCCACCGTCGGCACGCAGGTGGGTCCCGAGGGCGCTGCACTGCCGAGGGCGTTGCGGGTGTGCCGGTGACGGGAGGGGGCGGGGACAAAGCTGGATCGCCGCTCCCTTTATGCGGAGGAGCTTACGCCAACCTCAGTCATCAGTTCGCTTGATTTTTTACGGCATGTGAATACCACGTCCGTTCACTGCTAGCCCGTTCGAATTCACCCGATTTTCGTCTCGCCGCCACTGAGAGCTCGCGGACTATCAGAATCCTGCATCCAGCCTGCATTTTCTTCCTTTTGCGCTGTGTATTTCTGACACGCTCCTTAGACCTTGTGCTTTGGGTTTTTTCCGCCAACCTCTAAACTGAAACGCTCCGCGGCCACGGTCTGGCAAACACCACGCGCCCTGACCGGTCCGGCGCCGCAGGTGGCGCTGCTGTCGTCGGTGCCGGCCGTCTGCGAGCAGCTGCGGGCCATCCTGCCGGACGCCGAGCTAGCCTGCCGGCTCTCGCTGCTGCTGGAGGCGCTGCCACGCGACCCGCCGCCCGCCGTGACGCAAGCCAAGCTGAAAGCCATGCAGGCGGCGGCCGGCTCGCCACTGTTCCTCGACGGAGGTCGGTGGACATGGGAGGTTAATCCGACGTAGGGTGATGGAGGAGTGCGTGCACTAATCCCGGCAATAAAAGGGCAATCAAAGTACGTTACGGGGCTGTGTTTATTCAGGTATCCAATCGGGGTACTGAGAAAGTTCACGATTGTACTAATTGCGGGTTCAGTTCTCACACATGAACGGAAACAGATTGCCCGTTCGATGACCGTGCGAGGAGCCTTGGCGGTGTTAGCATCACCCACCCACTGTAGGACTTCTGCTCCACCTGCGGCAGAGTCCCGCCGCCTGCTGCTGCAGACGATGTGTAAGCACCTGCAGTACCACATCAGCCACCGGCAGGAGGTTCGGTTGAGCACTGATCTGCTGGGAGACGTCCTCGACCTGCTCCACCAGCTGCAGGTGCGGCACGCGGCACGCGGCCGCCGCGGCTCCAGCGTCTGTCCGGAGGGGTGACGTCACTCTAAGCGCGTCTGACGACGTGAAGCCCAGAGCTTGAAGTCAAGGGATGTTGTCATACTCTGGTCACGAGGCATGACATGCATGGGGTACGGTTAAAGGTCACAGATGTGGCTGCACAGGTGCATTTAGCTAGTGCCGTGTATGTGGTGGATGGTCAATACTTCCGTTAATCGTGGTGAGGTGCGATGAAGAACCACTTCACGTGCCTATCGCGTAACGACTGCCAACGCGTCGTGTTACAAGGAGGTTTCTCCGCCCCGGACCTTTCCCGGGGCGTGGAGATTATCTCTGTGCATGGACGCGTGCCCCGTGTTACAGAGTGATGACCCCGCCCTGGATCCCTCCCGGGACGTGGAGATTATCTCCGTGCATGGACGCGTGCCCCGTGTTACAGAGTGATGACCCCGGCCTGGACCTCTCCCGGGACGTGGAGATCGTCTCGGCGTACCTGGTGGACACGCTGGTACGCTCAGTGCTCTCGCTAGAGTCTGCCCCGCGGCGGACCGGCGGGGGCCAGTGCGGCCGCCTGGTGGCAGCACTGGCCACACTGCTACGACTTATGACCCACCAACACCACCGCCATCTCTGGGACGAGATGGCGGACGACGATCAGCTGGCGCAGTTTCTGCTCCGGCTGATGGCGCTGTTCAGGGAGCTGATCACAGAACAGGTGGGAACGAGGACGAATTCGTCTGGGTTTCGTCATCAAGCAGATAGGCGTTCATGGGGACATCCTTAAAAATCATCGCCCCCTAAAACCCGTCGTCCTGTTTTCAAGTTTCGCCACCAAAGAGGTTTGCTGAACTTTGCTATTTGCTCGCCAGCGGCTTAGTTCTCCTTTCATGACGTGGTATTCCTCGAAATCAATATCCTTCAAATAACTGTTTTGAAGCAAGCCAACGGATCGCCGGAATTTATCACCTGCCTCGTGCCAAAGTTACGCTTGTAGAGACGATACAGAATGCATGACTCTGCCCCGAGTTGCTCTTCTCTGGCCGGCAGATTGAAGACTGGCTGTGTGCTTTTTCAGATGTACCCGCAGGATTGGTGCGTCATGAAGATGACGGTGAATAAGCTGATCCTGACGACGTTGGGCGAGCTCTCCATTGCACTTCGAGACCGTTTCCTGGCCGGCAACAGGTTCAATCAGCTGGTGCGTTCCACTGCAGACCCTTGAGGCTGATGCATTTTATCACTCATTGGCTTTTTTAGTTGCCAGCAGTGAGATCTGAACACGGTGGCCTTCTCTGGAAGTGAGACTTATTTTACCGTCCCTTATCGTGTTATTGAACCTTGTTTGACTGATTGTAATTCCTTTGCAGCTGTGGCACAGCTACCTCACCCTGTCGGTGACCTTTGTGACCCAGCCTGAGCTCCAGTTGGAGTCATTTTCCGAGGTCAAGCGTGATAAGCTGCTGCAGAAGTATCAGGACATGCGACTGCTCATGGGGTTTGAGCTGCTTGCAATGTGGGGCCTTCTTGGTACGTGTGTTGATTATCGCCTCTTGAGTTACCGATGTTTTAAGGTGTCGGCGAACACTGCTGTGTACTCCTACCATCCTGCGTCACTGTTTTAGGCTTAAAAGATGAGGCGGACGTATTTATGCAATATGTGATGTATATGTACCACGACGAGGAGTCATTACGTACCTCTACGAACATTTGTGTGGGAATATCAGTGTCAGGTCAATAATTTTGTATCGGGCGGCATTCTGCATCAGCCTGGCGTGGACTCGCTTGACCTGGCCGCCGGGCCCCACGCCGTCCATCACCGTGCACTGTCGAGCGAGACCGGCGCCGCCCGCAGGCGAGCATAAGAGCCAGTTCGTGCCGGCGCTGGTGGGGCCGCTGCTGGAGCTGACGCTGATCCCGGCGCTGGAGCTGCGCACCGCCACCCTGCCCGTCTTCTACGACCTGATCGAGGTCGAGCAGGTCACGCGCGGCAGCTTCAGACAGGTCAGCCGCGGCACCGGACGGGAAGTGGGGCGTACATTGGCTGATTATGCGTGCAGAGCCCTGCGGATGTACACGCCGCAAGGTGATGTGTGTTGGAAGCTCGCCATATCATTGGTTTTCAGAACTTTACTCAGGTGCACGTTTGCCAGATGCGCAAAAAGCGCCGGCTGGTTTAGTGATGGCTATACAGCTGTTTTGCTGAAAATAATGAATTCTATCCCTGACTTCACGGCGTTATGTCGGGGAATGCTCGGGTATGACCGCTGGCCGTACTCGTGCATGCTTTGATGGGTGTATTAACGGTCCCTGTCGTGTCCACATGCGTGGATTTCCAGGTTGAGATGGAGCTGATTGACAAGCTGGATATTTTGGTCAGCGAGGACAAAGGCGACGACGAGTACCGACGCCTCTTCCAGACCATGTTAGTGCTGCTGTGGATAGAGCTACAGTAAATCAACACATTGCACGAATCAAACACGCAATGGCCTGATCAAGCCGTACATGGTCGAGATACTGAATGAATGAATTAGTTGATCAAACGGGTACAGACCAATATGAATTATGCCAATCGTTGCCATACTTGATCAACTAGTGGAAGAACCAATAAATGAATGCATCAGTGAATCATTGAAATCAACGGTTTAATCAATATTCAATCCAATTGCCAGCATCTCCCTTTTGAGCTGGTAAACATGACCATGTCCTTTACCACTGAGAAAAATGCGGTTTAAGTCATAGTTCAAATTTGCTGAGCGGGTCAGTGAACTCCCAACGCCTCCGTCTGACCTTCCTCTCCGTGCTCCCTACCAGCCTGATGATGGAGGTGGAGCGGCGCGCCCCGTCATGGCACGAGGCGGGCGTGGCGTTCGTCAGTTCGGTGACGCGCCTGCTGGAGCGCCTGCTGGACTACCGCCAAGTCATGGACGGAGAGGAGAACCGCGACAAACGCATCAGCTGCACTGTCAACCTGCTGGTGAGTCGCCGGCCCGGGGCCGGGGGACAGCGCAGAGGCCGACAATGCTCACTACCAGCCACAGGCCTCACCCGCGCTGGCTTGCCAACAGATGTGCTATGTTCATATTCGAATCATGCTTCGGGCCGAACGTATCACAGTAGACCTGCGCTCAAATATTGCTGGCTTAGCAGCTAAATTCACTTCATTGACATTTTCTGGAGCCGATTTCCGGCTCCAGAAGAAGCCTTACATCCGATTTCCAAGCGCTCAAAGCTCATTAATTTTGATCTCTCATATGCAAAGCTGAAAAGTTAAGGCAGCAATATCGAGCCTCGTCCTGGTTACTCTATGCCTTCCCGGTTGAAGCATGAGACGCCCCCCGCTCCGGGCCCCGCTGACCACCGTGTCTCACTGTACCGCCGACGCAGAACTTCTACAAGAGCGAGGTGAACCGGGCCGAGATGTACCAGCGCTACATCTACAAGCTGCACGACCTGCACGTATCGGCCGAGAACTACGTGGAGGCAGCGCTGACACTGCGCCTGCACGCCGACCAGCTGGAGTGGACGACCCGCGTGCTGCACGCCGACCTGCGCTACCCGGTCCAGTGCGAGTGGCAGCGCAAGGAGCAGCTGCTCAACCAGATGGTCGACTACCTGGACCGCGGCAAGTGCTGGGAGGCCGGCATCCCGCTGCTGAAGGAGCTGGCCGAACAGTACGAGAACAGGGTGTTCGATTACGGCAAGCTGAGCGAGGTGCTGAAGAGCATGGCGAGGTTCTACGATCAGATCCTGACGCAGCTGCGGCCCGAACCCGAGTACTTCAGGGTCGGCTTCTACGGCCAGCGGTTCCCGCTCTTTGTGAGGGTAAGTGCTTGTGCTGGGGTAGGACTGAGTAAGGTCGACCCCGTCATGTAATTTTTTTCGCTTTAAATGAATTATCAAAGGACAGTATATATCTGACTGTATGTTGCTGATATTTAAGATGCTTAAATACGCGTTTTTTCATTGGCAGAATTTGTTTCATTTCCAGCATATACTATGGGGCCCCACAATTTGTGTATGGAAATGACAAGCCTTGCATGCTCTAACGGATGATCCAATGATCATCTATGATCATGCATCTATGATTACCTATGACCAAACATCTCTGATTCAATGCATTCGCAAAGATCACCGATGCAACCAATGCCTGCTTTGACTTCGTCCGCAGAACAAGGTGTTCGTGTACCGAGGTCTGGAGTACGAGCGGATCGGCGCCTTCACTCAGCGGCTGCAGACAGAGTTCCCGACTGCTCAGCTGATGACTACACTAGCGCCGCCTGACGACAACCTCATGAACTCGCCCGCCCAGTGTATCCTTGAGTCGCGGCTGTGGCGCAGCGCCGCGTTGGCCAGCTCATGGGTGTTGATGACACTGTTGCTGGTGCTAGTCAAGGCTTGCATTTGGTTATCTAGCTCAACTCATCCGTGTCACCAAATTCCGTCTGTAGACGTGTGAGCTGTCACACACATGCACATACATGCACATACATGCACGCACTGACACGACCTGCGCCCAAATCAACATCAGTTTCAGAAATTTGTTTCGCCAAGTGAAATCAATGATAGCGATTACAAATGCAAACCAAGCGGCGCATCCTGAAACACGCAGAACATTTGCTCACCACTTGCCCTGAAGCCCTGCCGCCCAATTCTCTCTCGGTGATGGCCCTTGACTTTGAACGTCAGTTATCCAGATCTGCCACGTGCGGCCCGTGGCTCGCGACGTGTCGAGTCTGCCGGGGGTTGAGGTGCCGGCGCGGATCCGCGCCTTTTACCTGGTCAATGGCATCGACACGTTCCAGTTCGACCGACCCGTGCACCGCGGCGTTGTCGACAAGGAGAACGAGTTCAAGGTCAGAGGGACGACGGTGCCGGTGGTCCGCCCCGGCTGAATTGGGGGCTGACGGGCTCAAGGAGGTGGCTTGGTGGTATCGGAAACACTGCGCTTCGATTTTTGCCTGTTCGCTGCTAAAAACACATCGTCTCTATGTGAGTAGCATGGTGCGTGGTTTGAAGTATTACGTACCACGTATGGCTTGCCGTCATTCAAGAGCGATTCCACAGTCATTCCACAGTCCACAAACAGCTCAGAAGTTTCACTTTCACGTGCCTGCAATTCGGGAAGCAATGATTTTCACTTGGAAAGCTTCGTAAACAGTACCATACTTCACTGGCGTGTTCAGGTGCACGTGCAATACCAACCTTCGTCTAGGATCAAATGACCTCAGTATATTGCACTGTCGTGCTGCCTCCTGCCTTTCCCCACATGTTATTCCTTCGCGCTCAACGATGTCGCCATAACTAAATCACACCATGTAAAGCTGTACTAAACTGCTTTCTTCACTCCATCTTGAGCTACATTGGACCACACTTCCGCACGTTGTCTACCCTCCGACAGAGCCTGTGGCTGGAGCGGACCACGCTGGAGATCGAGGCGCCGCTGCCGGGCATCTTGCGCTGGTTCCCAGTCGTGTCCGCGCGCCGGGAGCTCATCTCGCCCATCCGGCACGGCTGCGAGACGGTCAGCGCCGCCAACCGGCAGCTGCGGCAACTAATCGCCCAGTACACGCCGCCGGCCGCCGATGTCAACATCAGTCCACTCAGCATGCGGCTGCAGGTCAGCGCCAGGGGTCACGGGTCACCCGACGACAGGGAGGCTGCTCGCTAGGTCTCCGGCGTCGCCGTGATCTGGTGATGCCACCATTGGGAAAGGTGGGGTATTTCGAAGGATCGAAGGTGAGGGAACGAGTGCTCAATCGTTTTGACCGCCCGGCGGACCTGAAACGCGGTGAGCACTGTGCGACATCAGTTTTAGATTTGCTCTTACGAAGCAACTCAAAGCGGCGACATACTCTGAATGGACGTAAAATTGGCACCAGCGCATGCTACTGGACACACGCCTCTTTATTGAAGTGTATATACAATTTGGAATATTGTTCAGAGGAAGGAATCAAGAGCGGCCGGAAAAATCCAAGCAAGCTTTCTGGCTTGAATACATCGCATCGCTAGCGGATGTTGTACATAACTTGCGCATGCATCGATGACAGCACAGTTGCTCGGCCTCACCAGGGTATCATCGACGCAGCCGTCAATGGCGGCATCGCCAACTTTAAGGACGCATTCTTCACGGCTGAGTTTCCGGCGCAGAACCCAGACATGGCGCCGCACGTGCCCCAGTTGAAGGGTCTTATCCAGGAACAGGTAACGGTTGCAATGAGCTAGGAATCGCGATAGCCCCGTCTCCATAGACTGATGTTGTTAAAGGTGTTACTTGTATTCACGGATTACGGCACAACACACGTGCACCATCTCTTTCGTATAGACGCACCTCGGCAGCTTTCCCTCGTTTACACCCTGACAGCTGTTCTACAGTCCGACCTGTGCACACCCCGGCAGCCGTCCCCAGTCTGACCCACGTGCACCCCCGACAGCTATCGATCCTGGAGCACGGCCTGACGCTGCACGGCCAACTGGCGCCGGCCAACGTGCAGCCGCTGCACCGGCGGCTGCGCCAGTGTCTGCGCGAGCTTCGCCAGGGCGCGGCCGCCTCCTGTCTGGCGGGCGGCGACGACTCGCCCGGCGCAGGACGCTTCAGCCGCCAGGGCAGCCGGCGCCGCAGCGTCGGGGCTGACTCCAAGGCCAGCATACTCAGGTGGGCGGGGCTCCGGGTCATTGTAGCAGTGTGGGTGTGGTTCCCCGGGCCAGCACAGTACGTCGGGCATGATTTGGGACACCACAGCCAGGTGGGTTATTCGGGTGTGCTGCATGGGAAGCACAAGTTGGCGCGTTCCAAAGTCTGTTGCCAGGTTCAGACTCTAACTGACCTCGCTCAGCAAATCGACGCATATCAGCATACGTATAAGCTATTGTTTGTTGGGTTGCGTCCTTGAGGGTAATTAGCGCCTTTCTCTTTCATTTATTCCTGATATTTTCATGGGCAGTGTTGCAGTTACCCACCCATTAGTAAAGTCCCCCCCCCCTCCCCAGCACGCCGCTGCCGCCAGTGCCGACCGAGCGGCGCCCTGCCAGCGGCTCGTGTCGCAGCAGCCGCTCTTCCACCTCGTCCTGCTCAGTGTTCGGTCCGCTGCCGGACGAGGACGAGGACGAGGTAGAGGGCTACTCGCGGCCGTCCGAGTGGGGCGATCTGGCCGATCTGGGCGGCCGCGGCTCGATCAGCTCGCGCGCGAGCGGGGGCTCGCGCCGCCACGACTACATCCTGCTCACCGTCGGCAAGGGGTGAGCAGCGCGGGGCCGGAGGGCGCAGCCAACGAACAAACGAACGGTTAACGCGCCGAAGGGATGCACGGTAGAGGGCAATGGGGAACCTGTCGCAGGGGGTGTCGTAGATCACCGACACAAATGAGGCAACAAGGAGTTGATACGCAGTGTGCGATTCGTTTAAGAGCGAACTGCATAGCTACTAGTATTGATAAGAACTTAAATAGCTTATAGTATGCCGTTTTCGTGGTTGTTTCATACCGTTTTCTTGACTGTGGTGCATGACATTGGTGCTGTTTGACGGTGTGATATGTTGGCGCCTCGCTGGCACTGGCGCCTTGAGGCCTAACAAGCCTGCAATCAGCTCGGAGTCCGCACTCATCTGTGCCTGTGCCGCTCTCACAGTGACGAGGAGCCTCCGGAGCGTCCCCCGAAACGGTTCTCCGAGCCTCGAGCGTTCGCGGATGGCTGCTCCCGGCCGGCCAGCCGTCAGTCGCACGTCTCCATCATCGACACTTCTCTGCCTCCGCTGCCGCCCAAGCGTGAGTTTGTCCCACTGTGAGAAGCGGGCACTCGCCTGTGCACTAGTATTCGGATGTCCATCATGCTCACCAATGCTCATTGTGCTCAGACAGGTTGTCTCCTCTCTCCGAATGAAAATGAATTTAAGGACTTCAGTGCTCCACTCCATTAATTTTTTGATTGACTGACGGCCATGAATTGACTGCTGCTGCTTCTGATGTCGCAAACATCTGACAGTCTTTTGTCGCTGTTTTGGTACACGGGAACATCGCTCAGGTGTTGCAATATACATTCAGCTCTGCTTTGGATCCGAGTGTTAGAAAATGGCACGGCTTATTCACACTCAAGCCACGACCAGCTGTATTGGAATTAGCGAGACGTGGCATCACCCTAACCGATCCCCACCGGCCAGCCCCAGAGAAGCGGCACACCTCGTCCGTCTCGTCCGTGGTGTACGGCGGCGGCCCGGAGCACCGGCCCAGCCTGCCCGCCCGGCTCACCAAGAAGGTACGCACACAACACGAGAGGCCGGCCTGCCAGTCTGGCAGGCCGCTGGCCAGGCATACAGCTCTGCCGCCACACTATGGCATGCAGATAGGTCGGCGGCATTGACGCATGCGCTGGAAGCTGATCTGCACCATGCGCTTTTTTAACGCACGGATACGCACCACGTATAACCCTGGCTGACTGTGGTAGTATGCGATGCTTCTTCCAAATGTTGATATGTTGCAAGTTTCTTGCAAACTCTTGATGGATGTTTGTGGGCAACACGGTCCATGACCCGAAGCTTTGATCATATGGCGCACTAGCCATGCTGCTGACAGTAAAGCATCATCATGATGGTGATGACTATGATGATGACGGCATATAATGATGATTGGTATGATGATGGTATCGGTGACGGTGGCGATGACGATGCCGGCAATGACAGCGCCGCACACGCGGGCAGGTGTCGGCGCCGGCCATCCTGTCGGGTGACTCGGCGGCGGTCAGCTGTCCGCCCACGCCACCGCCGCTGCCTCCCCGGCTCGCCGGCTGGCAGGGCGGCGTCGACCCGTCCGGCGACCTGCTCGAGCCGCCCGACTTCGAGGCGCCGCCGCCGCCCGACCATGAGAGCCCGCTCCGGCTGTCGCTGGGCTTCGACGACTCGGACTCGGCCAGCTACAAGATCCTGCAGCCGGACAAGCTGCGTCGCTTCGCCGACGAGGCCAACTACAAGCTGGTGGTGACGCCGGGCAGGATCTGCCGCCGGGTGGCCGCCGCCGGTGAGAGGGAAACGGAAGCCTGACCACCTGACCTGATTGTCCGGATCGGGCCATCACTGAAGACCTGACCTGACCTGACCAGCTGACCTGATGGTCCGGATCGGGCCGCACTGGTTGTGGAGCGCCTACGCTGGCTTGGGTTGGACTGGTAATAGGCGGTTTGAACCGGTTGCGGACCGTTGGACTCGGTCCGGTTGTGCTTACGCCAACGAGCTATACTGGGTAGGTCAAAATATGTTTTTTTGCGGGGCTGGTTAGGGTGGGACGGCCCCATCACCACATCCAAGGTGCTATTGTTGGATGGTGCGAGCTTATCTGCTTCGCTCGGACGCGACCTTGGTTGATGTTGCTTTTTGGCATGCGGACGAGCGTTGGAAACTTCAGGAGTGCTGATGTGGCTCATTTTGACGCAAGCTCTCCACCGCGGCACCGCGGCTTGCTGTGGTCTTTGTTTTCTTACGAGCTCGTTCATTGATGCTGATGTGCTAGTCAGTGGCCACTGCAAACGTCCAACGCAGAACGTCCCTTTTCGGAAGCGGGGGAAGCTTTCCGCACGCGCGATGCGTTGCTATGTACTGTGCGTGATCCCACCCGAGCTGTTCTCTGTGATCTGCCAGCTGCATATGTGAGTGGGTGTCTCGCTGCTCGTGGGAGCCGTCTCTCGCTCGGCACGGCCCGCCGCGCCGTCTCTCACTCGGCAAAGTCCGCTGCGCCGCAGTGCTCCCAGCGTGTCCTCCTAGTCGCGCGTGTCATATTTGCGCTCGTGTTTGCTCATTGTATCGCTGACATTATCCAAGGAAATGCAGTAGATTGCTAGTGGTATTTGTTTCACATTTTGGTCTGGTTTCCCGTTGAGGTATGGTTTTAGATTTAAGGTGGTTATGGTACCGACTTCCGCTGCATGGACAGCCTTTTTCACGAACGCCTGCGTTGTGGAATGTGCTGAAACATTTCAGAGAGCATGAGCAGTAAATGCCAAAATAGCTGGCGTTTAGCCTGGCGTTACACGTCCACCATAGTCACTTGAGTACCAGCAAAGCACAAACAATAATGACACTTTGTGTGAGTCCGTGTTCATCTAACACTTCCATGGCGATTGCTTAGCACCTGTCTTAAATTCCGCGGCTCTTAAAGGTACATCCTGCGCATGAGCGGGATGTTACAGTAGTAATGATACATTTCTGGATTATAACAGCAAGCACAGCAGTGCATATTGCATTATGCCGGGTAAGCAAGAAACTATATATTTTCGGCCCAAGCTAGCTTTTAGGCTTTTGCCCGTGCTCGTAAGATCGTACAGCCCAGAGGAAACATCACAAAGCCGATTTAACCCTTTGGGTTCTGAATTGATTTGCGCACGCACTTACATTCATGGTCCAGGTGTATCCAACTGCGGTCATAAGACCAGTTTGTCAACCTGTTTTTGATCAATTCAGCTAATTTGATCGAAATGGCTATTTCTGCGATTCTTTTCCACCTGATTTCTTACTGGAGTGGCCACAATAAAGAATCCACCTCCTTCGACGTGATTTGCCGGGGTTTTACTGGTATGAGACCAAAACATTTGTTAAGCAGATTTTGTGACTAGGATCGCTCGGAATGTATTGTGACTACCGTATGTCGTGGCACGCCAGCACGATTGAACGCTCCAGCCGGTCTCCCATGACACCAGACTGGCCAGTCGGCTGCTGGCGCTGGCGTGCCCCGTTTGCATCCGTACCGTATGCCCCGTCGTGAGCTGTCTCCGGGAGCTCGGGCAGGTGGGGACATTCTCCCCTCTTTTATGTGTCCTCGCTCCGAGTCCTTCTTCCCTCCCCATGAAGACGTCACAGATGACGAAGGTCAACTGAGCCAGGGTCGACACCCTCCCTCCACCATCAGCTCATGAAGAACTTGCATTTTGCACTGAGGGAATAAAACAATCCGTCATGGCAATCGCACCCCCACGACCCGGCCTCAGCCGGAACTGCTGCGTTAGCACTGGCTTCCGAAGACGTCGCAATCTACGGCTTTTTATTTCATCTCCTTATTATTTGATCAATATTACCAGTGGGTTTGGGGGGAGTGGGCGTGGGGCTGACGATATGAGACAACCCCTGGTGGTACGAGGTGTCCGAATCGACTATCTTCGAATGTATTCCGAGTTGGCTCCTTCACCCTCGCCTCTCTGCCGTCTCCTCCCACTGTGCTCCGGCCACATCAGTGTCCGTCGTGTCAGCAATACGCGAAGCAATGCCCGAATAACGACAATTTCTGCACGTTGGAGGTCGCACGAGCGTCCTGTGTGAGTGGCTGGCCAGGCACCGGGTCCGGCCAGATACCACGCGGTTTATCGAGACCAAGACGGTCGCCTCTGGGCCGCCCAACCCTGTCCGAGCCCAACCAGAGTCGTAAGGTAGCGTGAGCCGCGCGGGATCACCGGCGGTCGGCGCGAGTCAGAGACCCCCTCAGCAAGCCCAACCAGGACAAGAGCGCAGAGTGCGCTGCTATGCGCAGAGCCGGCGGCCCGGAGCGGCCACGCGTCTTGTCGGCTGGGGGCTTGTCTACGGCGTTCGACTGGGGCTCCGTCCTTGTCGCCCGGCTCGGCCCCGCGCAGAGCCAGCTGAGCACTTGCCTGTCAGCGCAGAGCTGCGGTTACCAGCTGGAGAGTCTGCCGCAGGAGGGCGTGTCGAGCCGCTGTCCACCGGCCGGTCTCAGACGTGTAGCAGCGTGCTGGTAAACGGCGACGGCGGCGTAGCGCTGTTGTCCGCCGCATCAAGCGACCGCCGGGCGGTGGAAGGTGGAGCCGGGGGACGGGCCGGTCACCCAGCTGCGTAACAGCCCACCCAGATCTCAGACCTCCGGATGGGAAGCGATCGTCACTGGCGTTATTTTGTCAGCGACGACCGAATGCTAGGGTTCACTGTCGCCCGCCGCAATGGGGAGAAACGCAAGGGGCTCGCGGATCAGCTCAGGGCTCGCTACCGTCCCGAAGTATGGAGGTGCCGGTGCCTCGGTAAGTGGCGCGAGTGATCCCCCTGCTTGCAGGACTCTGTGAATCAGAGGCTAATCCGGCACCCGCGTTCGCCGTCCCAAGTGCGACTTGCGGAAGAGCTTGTAGTGAGCAAGACTGGGCACGGGACGGTGATACGGGGCTTGTGGCGTCTATGGAACACGCGACGAGCCGCTAGCAGTGCAGGTTATAATAGCGTTTCAGATACGTTCTTGTCTTCTTTCAACTTGGTCTGTTAACGCCAATTTCTATCTGCTTTTCGTATCTTTCAACATGCGTCAGCGCTTTGAGCTTTGCGAGTTCGGAGGGAGTGGGTCAGATCATGAAAGGAGATATCTCGCAGTGGGACGTAGTGCCCTAGTTCGATCACTAAGAGTGCATGTCTGCTCTCTCTTTCTCTCTGTCTCTCTGTCCCTGTCTCTCTGTCTCTCGCTCTCTCTCTCTCTCTCTCTCTCTCTCTCTCTCTCTCTCTCTCTCTCTCTCTCTCCTCTCTCTCTCTCTCTCTCTCTCTTCTCTCTCTCTCTCTCTCTCTCTCCTCTCTCTCTCTCTCTCTCTCTCTCTCTCTCTCTCCTCTCTCTCTCTCTCTCTCTCTCTCTCTCTCTCTCTCTCTCTCTCTCTCTCTCTCTCTCTCTCTCTCTCTCTTTATCCTTTTCTTTGTCTCTCACTTCTTTCTTCGACCCTCTCCTTCTATCTGAACAAATAACTTTGCCTTGTTGTGCCTAAGCAAACATCTCTTGAACATTTCATTACTCACACGCATCTCACCTAAGGGCAGACTTGCAACGCGCGAAGTGCAACTGCCCCTCGCCGCGCAGTTCGGCGGGTCCGACTCAGGCCTGATTCCGCTGAGCGGGCTCGCTGCCGTGCGCGCGCCGCCCGGTCACGGTCCAGCGGCCACGCGGTGCCACGCGCCGTCCTCGCACTCTGCGTCCACTCGGCCACGAGTCACCGGTGAGAGCAGTGCCTGCTTCAGCCCGGAGACAGAGGACCGGAGACCGGGCCGACCCGGACTGACGGCGGTGGAGGTAGCTACCGGCTATTTTGGGACACGAACGCACAGGTAAGCACTCGGTGTATGACGGTCCGGCTGGTTACGTCCCTGAAATGTCATTACTTCCCATATGCATGAGGGCATAAGTCGGAAAGAACACCACGTGACTGTATTGTTTTAGAACTAAGCTCAAAATACATTACTGTAGCAGCTCCTCCGATCAACATAGTTGCTTATCGTAGTGCATACACATGTTTTATCTCTGGACAATAAACGCGCTGTGTGCGTGTCTTTTACTAGTGGCAGGTTTTGAAAACATCATGGATATATATAATCTGATGGTGGGATTACAACAAAACACAAAACATTGGTATGCCGTTTTGCTTTATAAGCCCTTAACAAAACAGCATGCCGCTGTTTAAATTTGCTGTGAAAGGGTGCTGTGAGCTTGAACGCGTCTATCTGTTACCCATTCATATCGCTGTGACACCACCAAACGCTTGTAAACACGCGCCCGGGTGGTCGGCTGGATATCCTTCGGTCGGGTGGGAGTCAGTTTGACCCCCCTGAGATATCAGGAACTAGAGCTGGATACATCAGATTTACATACATCAGAAAGAGAGCTGGATACATCAGATTTACAGGGTGTATTGGCCTGTACCTGAAGTCACTCAGGTCAAAGTTTGAGGTTCCTAGGTCATGACCTTCGGGTAAAGCAAGATCAAACAAGGTTAATCCCCACGCTGGTCTCCAAAGCGAACCCAGGACCTAGATTCCTGTTCTAAGCAAAATATCACATGATCATTTAAGGTCAGTGGCCTTTTTTGACTTTTCGAAGGTCATGGTGACCAAAACACACAAGACTGCTTTGAGTTTTGCATTTGAATTAGCGACAAAGATTACACTAGGCGGGATTTTCCCGAAAACAAAGTGCTGACCTGGGTCAGTTTAGGTCAATGACATATTCTGACCTTTCAGAAGTACATGGAATATTCATAATGCGGTTTCTGTTATCAATAACTTCGAAATGAGAACCAGAGGCCATTTCATACAACAAGCCCTGAAGTACTAAAACAGATTGGCTTTGATCTTGGTCTAACCTTCAAAAGTGACTTTAGGTCAATTGAATTTGCTCATTCAATGGTTGTGTCGTCTAAGAAAGTGTCACACAGATGTATAGTCTCGTCTGATACCCCGTTGTTGCATCAGATGAAACGATTCCCTAGAAATCGACTTAGCAGAATCTGTGGCCTGCATTTGACCTACCGCAGGTCAGGGACCTTACAAGGTGAATCTACGTTTTTAACACTAAACGATCGGCTATTCATTTGTCTACAGCTATGCAAAATTTGGCGCGGCTGCGCCGCACTGTTCAAAACCGCTCTGGAAAGGCCTTCGCGGGAGGGTGGGGGGGGGGGGGGGTCAGTTTGACCCTCACCCGAGCGCGTTATAAGAATCGCTTCATGAATATGACGCGTTTGCTATGTATTCCTAAATATGTTAAAAGCAACAAGGTGCATTATGCAACACATGCTTGGATCACAGACGCTTTATTTATTCAAGTGGTGACGCGCGGCATCACGTGGACAACTTCCGCCAACCGCCTCTTGGCCAAAAGCTGCCGTGAAGCTGTGAATAATCATTCGGCTTGAGGACGCCGTGGCATATTGAACTTTTGACGATAATGACCAGGTATGAAGTGCAAACAAGAAAAATACTTTTCTTCGATGATAACGTCTTTTATAAAGCATTTAGCGCAAGTTGATATATGTGGGTAATTGCCCCATCATAAATTTACATCACACTACAAAACAATCCACGCAATTTCCAGGTACCTCCAACTCAATGTTGCCCACATATTTCTACGGCGAATTTTGTTTTAGACTGACGCAGGTCTCCAGTCGAACTGATATCAATACCTCAGATTTCAATGGACTGTTTTTGACTCGGTATGTATTAAACAGAAACTGGAGGCCCGGACTAACTTTCAGCTAGATAGCAATTTCTGAAACCGTCAGTGGCGTACTCAGAACAGCAAAAAGTAGAGTCTGTCTGATCGTCATGCTTGACGTAATTAAAACACTAAAATTGTGCGCATCACATTTCCCATTTCGTTGCCACGATATGGTTCGAAATTGTCTTGCTGAATGTATGGTACCAACATTTTCCCTGCTTCATATCAAACTGATGGCGAACAAAAGTAACCGAGACGAGGACTCTCACTTCAACGGTCCTGGAACATGAGATAAGCCCGAAGAGGCTGAAATGGGTCCCAGGCCCGGACTCGTGCCTCTGCCGATCCGAACTGCATGTTGGCCACGAAGACGCACGTAACAATCACAAACTGGGCGGAAAAACGTACGCTAGGCTGGATTTTGCCGTAGAATGGCATGCATTCATCATTTGGTTATTTTTTGGGTGGTCATAATCCTCACACGCTCGTATCGCACATTGTAGGATGCTGGC